CCCCCCACCACCACCACCATTGTGCAAATAATCTTTGTCGTGAAATTGTCTCGATTTGTCCTCCAGATGATAGACCAGGGTCTCATTCTGCACGATGGTTCTTATTTCCGTGACATGTGGAACCTCCTGGACTTCATCGTGGTGGTGGGAGCTCTCATCGCCTTCGCTCTGACGTGAGTCACATACAGTTCAGTCGGCCCATGACTAACGTCTGACTCACTGCAGCAAATACCTTAGCGATCCTACTTTACTGCAACAAATAACCCTCTCTCAAAAGCAAACTCTGTACAGAGACACTCATGATCCTGTGAAATATGTAACTCCGTTTTAACTTCCCCGCAGGGCTACAACGAGAGGAGAAAACTCTGTTGCTGTGTAGATTTATCTCTGTTGTCTCTTCCTGCATGTGATGGATAACCTGATAACTAACAATTTTGTGCAGTTTGTTGTACTGTAGGAGTTTTAATGTTAATTTATCTGTTGTTAATATGGATGTGATGTAACTTTTTTACCCTTCGTTTTTTTTCTCTGTTGTTCCTGTGGATGTTGTCACTGTTGGGGGCTACCAGGAATGTGCTGGGGTAAAAGCAAATAATAAAATTATAGATGTGAACCTCTTTTCCATGAACTCGTCATGTACTTCTCTGCTATCCATGTGTCTTGTCGTTGCCCGCCGTCGACTATGAAAAGCGATACTGTTGTTTTTGCCTCATTCTGTGTGTTTGCTTGTCTGTAGCGTTAGCAAAATATCTCATAAAGCATTAAATAGTATTGTATGAAATTCCCAGAAAATAACCAGTGAATGTACACCTGCAACTTTAGAAACAACTAATTGAAGTGGCTGCCACAGACCCCACAGTTTTGCATGAGATTGTGCATGTCGTGCAGGGTTTGATGACAAATGGATGGAAAAGTCAAGTCAAATTTTATCTTATTTTTATTCTTACTGAATTTTATGTATACAGTGTCAAAGTATTATGCATTACATTCCATATTATTGTTATATTTTTTCATATAACTTTACTATACAGAGGACAAAAATGTAACTGCGTAAGAATGACTTATGGCAGCAAAGTAAGAATGAGAATRCACGCCATTAATACAATATATTTAAAATAGTGTTTACATAAATATCTAATTTAAGGGTAGAAAAGCTCATAAAATGCCAAAATAAAAAGAGTCACTTCTCCAAACACKCTTTCTTGGTGAAATTCGGTTTTTGTTTGTTTCCATGTGTCATTTGGACATTTTCCTCTCACCGTGTTCCCCTCTTTAATCTGTGGCTGTATGTTTTAATTCGAGTGCACAACTTTATTTCTTAGCACCACGTTTCGATATCAACAGGAACACAAAAGGCAGAGACATCAAGACGATCAAGTCCCTCCGAGTTCTAAGAGTTCTGCGGCCGCTTAAAACCATCAAGAGGCTTCCAAAGCTCAAGGTCTGTTGGAAAATGTTCACAAGCCAGTTTGGGGGAGGTGGGATTTATGGCGCATTTGACAGATTGTATTTGCCTCCGTCTTGTCTTTTCTCCCGCGCAGGCGGTTTTTGACTGTGTGGTCACGTCTCTAAAGAACGTCTTCAACATCCTCATTGTGTACCAGCTCTTCATGTTCATCTTTGCTGTCATCGCGGTCCAGCTCTTTAAGGGGAAGTTCTTCTTCTGCACTGACAGCTCCATGAAAACAGAAAAGGAATGTCGGTATGTGAAYGTCTGGACTGCAGGCTCGTGTAATTGTTTTTGAATATGCATGCCGGTGTAAATCGGGCGATCCTCCTACGTGTCGTCACTCTCTGTGAACATGTACTGGCACACCGTATAATGGTGTCATTGTTAGCATAAAATCTACAAAAAATAAAAAAAGATGAACAGCCAAAATCTTATTTCAGGTTTTTTATTTATTTATTTTGCTGCACAGAAAGTTACAGAAAAATCAGTTTTATTGACATTTTGTGAATTGTGTTTCCTAAACTAAAAACAAAGTTTATCTCATTTTGGTCAAATAAATGTCTTTATTCTTAAATTTTGTACAATATGATAGTGTAATTCACTACTTTAAATGAACATTTGGTATATTTTCCTTTTAATCAACGTTTCTGTACTTCAGTAAAGCCAGTTTTAATCAGTGAATCTTGTGAAACAATGACCTWCAGTCTGCTTTCCCTTCCTGCAGAGGCTTCTACATTGACTACAGCAGAGACAAGAAGGAGGTGAAGAGAAGGGAGTGGAGGAGACACGAGTTTCATTACGACAACGTCTGCTGGGCCCTGCTCACCCTTTTCACTGTGTCGACAGGAGAAGGGTGGCCTCAGTGAGTGCACTTGGCAAATTAAAGCTTTTGATTACTTTCATGCGGTCTTAATCCCATGATGGCACAGAGAATACCTGTTGATGGACGAGTGGCTGAAACTGCTTGACAAACGTTCAGGGATGTTTGGTTGTCACCTTCAAAAAAACATTAGTCACCCTTCGAATATACAGCGGGTAAAATAAGCATTGAACACGTCACCATTTTTCTCAGTAAATATATTACTAGAGGTGCTAATGACATAAATTTTCACCAGATGTTGGTAACAACCCAAGTGATCCATACATACAAAGAAATCAAACCATAATTGTCCAGAAATGAAGTCATTTGTAATAATGTGGAATGGC